CCCTGCAGACTATCAAAGCAGACGCTGAGACTTATGACCAACTGTTGGGCAGAGTGCATGGAATCTTATGAAAGAAGAGGGAAATAGTAAGATCTGGAGAGGACAGGAACTCCACAAGGAGAGAAACAGAACCAGAAAATTTGAATACTTCTTATATAGCATGTTGTGTAAAATTGTATGGGCATTAAATATTTAATAGCTGAAAAAAGAAAGTAAAATGTTTATCATACATTAAGGAGGAACAACAGCTGAATTGTCCTTATGGTACACAATTACAACTTTGTAAAATTAAACATACAGGGTGTAAAAGATGGAAATAAATATGACAAAGTTTAACAGTGCTTTCTTTGTCTAGATGATCACATTATGGTGGTCTTTAATTTACTTTTTTATTCTTTTTAACAGTTTCTATATAACATTTTTTTCATAATAGGGAAAAACATTAACAACACAAACACCTTTTTTTAAATTATAAAATCAAAATCAAGGCCAAATAATTATACTCATTCTTTGGAGTCTTGCACAAAAGCAAAATGTTTGTTCTTTCAACTCTCTCATCAGAACCTGGGGAGTGGGAATTCTTTCAGCACCAAAACCCTTCAGTAACAAATTACCCAGGCTGCTGGAGCAATGAGAGCCAGTCAGCCAGTCTCAGCAGGGTCCAGTTCCCATAATGAAGAGCTTCCAATGCCCAGAGCTAAACCAAATTCTCTGTTAACAGCCAGAATCACTGACTCTGTCTCCTTTGTGTTTCTATAATTCCACCTGTTATCATTATTGCCCCCAAATCCTGAGAAGACAAGAGCCTTGCCTGTATTTATTGACTGTGTCAAGCCCCATCAGTCAGCATGCACAGATCTTCACCGGCATTTTTTACTAAGATAAGCTCTTATGATTTCTGTATCTCTTTACTAAATCTATGCCACAAAACAAAACAAAGCAAATCTCTCTGCTTTTCTCACCACATGTATCTGCTGTAGGCAGAGCTTCCTTCAGAGAGCCGGTCTACTTAGCACCATGCCTTTGCAGAGAAAGATATTTTGAAATGGTTCAAGGAGAGGTTGTTCAGCTGATTCGTTGGGTTGGCTTACTTATTCTAAAATATTGGCTTCTAAAATATAAGTAAAACCCTCCGTTGAATTTCTGAACACACCCAGTTCTAACAGACAAGGTTAGGCATAGAGAGAAGGGTTAAGGAAATTCACCCAGGTTCGTTAAGCTGAATTCTTCCAGGTTAGTTATTGTCTATGATATTCACATAATCCGTCCATCTTACCCTTTCCCCTAATGAATTTCCATCTGCTATTCAGCGTCCCTCTCCTCTGGCGTTTACTTTTCTACAGGATAGTCTTTGTGCTTTAGATATCTAAACAAAGTCTACTTATTTGGTGAATAAATTCTGTGCTGACTCTTTTCAGACTTCATGAATAATCTAGATAATTAAAATGTAGATGCCAAATGAGCAGTGTAGCTCTAAACATTTTAACTGAGAAGAGATTTGTTGATATGGGAAGAAATGACATGTAATATTATTTTGTATTTTTTTTAAATCACAGATGAATAAATTTCATGACCTACTATTTTACTTCTTTAACTTTTTTGGAGACTATACTCATTTTCAATAATACAGTGACTATTCATGTGAATCCTCTCACAAATACATACTTGTGTATTACATTTTACCATGTTACACAAAAAGAGATCTCATCACACAGCAACTGAATAACTTTGCTTAGGGCCACAGTACGAGTGGGTGCTTAAATGTAAACCAATTGATTAGAGAAGATGTCTTCCTTTGCCGAGGAACGTAAGGGCTCTAACAATATGACGTAGAGCACTTAAAGACATGTCAAAACACAAATCAGTCCTGGGTCAAAACAATACAACTCACTCTACTCAAGCTATGTCAGTGATGGAAGGGCCACAGCAGAGAATGATCTGTCTGTCCACTGAAAGGCAACTTGAGCAATGACTTCACTCCGCAAGCAATGGCTATCGTATGACACCTCTCTGTGTGCCCCGCCCCAATCCTCCAAGTGTCTGCAATTCACCAGACCTTACTTTACTTCATATCAAGAGCCAACATCTGTCGGCAATGTGCAAAAACGTCTAGACCTGCGCTGTAACTGTCTCTTCAGGGACTTTAGTCATCAGCTTTGCTTGGGTGTTCTCAAAAATGTTCTTCCTGTGGAATTATGATTTCTCCATAGAAACAGGTTCAAATTTTATCCATATATAAAGGATTTCCTTTTCTAACTAAATTTCATCTGTTCCCAGCTTTGTAAGAAAACAAAAAGTAGGCAGACACTGGCCATCTGTTCTCATTCTGTGTTGAGCACATCTACTGCAGTATAATGTAATTCCTTCCATGAATTGAAACTCAGGGCTTCAAAAGGGCAAATCCATAGTCAGGATAGACTTCCCTGTCCTTTACCCTCATAAGTTCTTAAACAATACATTCTTTAGGGAGCATAAGAGTAGCTCAATGTGGGGGTTGCAGATATGATTCAAGCATTAAGAATACGTGCTGCTCTTGTGGAGAGTTCAGTTCTCAGCACCTACATTGGGCATCTCACAATGGCCTATAACCCCCGCTCCACGGGATCAGACATAGTCTTCTGGTTCCATAAATACCTACACACACATGACTACATTGACCATACATACACACACAAACAGAAATCAAAATTCTTTTTAAAAACATATACCAAAGTCAATCTGAATGGAAATTCAATTTGTCTTTTAACACCCATAACCATTTGTTTCCTATTTATTAATAATCGGTGCCTCATGGACTGCTGCTGCCATCTCCTATCTGCTCAAATCTAAAAGCTGAAGTTACATGAAATGTCATTCTCTCCTTCACCATTTATTTTCAATCTAGACTCCAAATCCTATTCTGATCTTTACCTATCTCTTAAGTACACCTCCATTTTCCATTCCACTCTCATTCATTTTGGCTAAGGTTTGGGTATTCCTTGTTCAGATAATTACAGTGGCTTTTTAATGAGCTTTTCTTGCTTTCCATCTGCCACCTATTAAATCCAACTCCCTTTCTACTAGTGAAATGATCTCCCTAAAATGAAAATTATTTAAAGCCCTCCACTGCCTTAATCTTTCCATAGAAATACCCACACTCTGTTAGCATGGACAAAAAAATAAATCCTCTAACCATATGATCTGTGATAACATTTCCAAGCTAATCTCATCCAACTCTGGCCATCCTCAAGTATTTTGGCTTGACAAACAATCTGCTTCATGCGTCATCAAAACTGTGACTTTTTTCTTCTCCTCTTTGCCTGGCATCGTGCACATCTGTCTTTCTTTTGGCCATATCACATTAAAGTATCAAATATCACCCCAGACCTCCACTGAAGTCTACAGCAATTATACTAACCTTCTTTAGACATGTATTGATTCTTATTATCCACTCTACTCCCCCAAAATACTGTCTTAATTTCTTACTGCATTTTAAAATAAAAATTTAGTAAGAAAATTTATTGTGAGATCTACCCTCACGTGTGTACAACACATCATAAATTATACACATATTGTTGTACAACATATTTCTACAACTTAATCCTTTTAAAATTATGTACCTATTAAATGGCAATTATCTGCTTTCTCTTCCATCAGTCCCAGAATACCACCATTCTACTCAGATTCTCTGGCTTTGATTGTTTTATATAACTCACCTCAAAAGACTTGTGAGTTTTTTGTTTGTGTTTTATTTCATTTTGTTTTGTTTGTGACTGGCTCTGTTTACTTAACACAATGTCCTCAAGTCTCATCCACAATAATGTACCTTGCAGTGTTTTGTTCATTTTTTTTTTGTGGTTACAATATTCATTGTATACATTTATTTACCATCATCTATTTCTCTCCAGGTAGATTCCAAGGTACTTTGCACATCTTAGTATGAACAGTGCACAAATGATGTTAATTCTTTTGAATTTATACCCAAAAGTGAGACTGATAGGCTCTATGACAAATCTATAGTAGCTTTTAGAACATCAGTATACAGACAGAGCCAGGCCACTACAGGAGAATAGGGGGTTAGTTGAGCTGCACAATAGCTGACAAAATATATCAGGAAAAATTTGGTCTCTTTATTAGGTAACATTGGAGTGGCTGGATACTCAACAGCAACACAGGTAAAAAGACCTACATTTTATACCATGCACAAATGTCCATGATATACCATGCACAAATGTCCATGCAAAATGAACATTTTAAGAAAATCTATAAATATAGAAGAAAAAAACCAAAGGGGTAACTTTCACAAGGTTGATCATAGCAATAAGTTCAAGGATGTAAAGTGATGACAGAAGCCAAATAAACATTTCTTATGGCCTTGAAAGGCCATAGGAGAAGGTTATTCAGCTGAGGAGTATCTTCCCAGCATGGGAAACAGCCATGAGATAAAACTTTTTACCATTTTTCTTCTTTGTATGTATTAGTTTTATGGTGTTTCATACACATTTTGTTTGCATAATTGACAAATTTGCAAAACCAGATCATCTGAATAATCATGACCAAAGCTAGATGGTTATTCTTCTCTTGGTGATTTGTGAGCAGATGTGAAGTAGGAGAAGAAAGAAACATGGAAAGGGAAAAAGAATTGTCAGTGACTTTCCTATTAAATTTCCTAAAATGTCTTTGTATGTCAAGGAATTATTCTCTGTTTCTGTTAGCCCATTATCTGGAAAAATGAGAACAATGATCCACAGCAAAATTAGACCCTTTCTCCCAAAGCCAAGTTGTGGTTTTGTTGTTTTACCTAAGAAGAGTTGTATGTAACAAGGGGAAATTCTGTCTGAAGAATTGTAATCTCTTCTCCCTTCCTTCCTTTCTTCTGTCCTTCCTTCCTTCCTTCCTTCCTTCCTTCCTTCCTTCCTTCCTTCCTTCCTTCCTTCCTTCTTTCCTTCTTTCCTTCTTTCCTTCTTTCCTTCCATCACACCTCAAATTCAGGACCAAACACAGTAATGGGAACACCTTACCTGAGGCAATACAAATACAAAATCAAGGAAGAGATGACAAACAGAAGAACGTAAAGGACCACTGTTATCACAGCACCGAGCATGGCTGGTTGCTTGCTTTGCATGAACGTCCAGTAGAGTTTGGCTGCATCTGCAATAGGAGTCTCCCCATTATGTGCAAAGCGCTGAGAAAAGGAAGCATAGATTGAAATAAGGATGGAGGCATCATCGTGTCAGATTAATTTAAAGACATGAAACTCTACGGCACCATAATTTGTTTCTAAATTAAATCGTGTAAAGTACCCAAAAATTGCACAAAGGAAAGAGAAGAGAGGGTGGGTTTTGCGTGCTTGGTTTAGCAGATTTTTCTCATTTTCCCTTCCAAGGCTTGAAAGTGCATGCATTTGACGTGCAATTCATGAAGCAAAGGGCATGTTTTATTTATGTGCTATTAACTCGTGAATTTAATGAGCATAAGATATAAAGAAATTAAGTGTGATGGTGGAAAGATTCTTTTATTTCCGAAACAGATTTGATAGGAATGTAATCTGTGCTTTGCATAAAAGGTATGGCTTATTTTAGAAACTTACAAAAAAAAAAGTTACCAGGTTATTTAGTGTGAGCTCGAAAACTAAAGTTTACATTAGGTTAATTTAAAAACATTGTCCTGATTTTAGAGGAGGAAACATGTATTCTATACTGGATTATAAATAAATGCAAAGTACTGAGGTCTTTAAAGACAATTCTGAGTTGCAAAAACTCTACAGTGTCATCATGTGACATTATTGACCTCTCAATTGTATGGAGCATGAAGGTCCCTTAGCTGTGATTCCCATAATATCCGGTGGAAGTGATGAGTACTCTAAGGTAGGGATCTTTGATTCAAGTGGAGAGAAAGAGAGAGAACCACTTCTTTAGTGCTTAAACTGGCAATTATGTAAATATAGTTTTAAAAGGCACTTTTAAAAGTAGCTAATTCAAATCACATATGTGAGAAGGAAACCAAAGACTAGACAGGTTAATTTGTGTTTTCCCTGCACCAAAATATCTTTGGTAATTGCGCAATGACTAGAATCTAGAAATCTCAACTATCAACTACCTGTTTCTTTACCACACCAAAGCTTCTATTTTATGCTCTGTGTTTGTTATTCGTTCTACCTGGCAAGCATGGACTCGGTGCTTGCACTCTGAGCAGAAGCTAGGTGAGATATGTCAAGTGTAACTCCTTCCTCGGTTATCTTTCCGCTTCCTTAATGGTAAACAGATTAAAATGACTCACCGAACAGTCTATGTTTGACTCCAAGAACATGAGCTAAATAGCCGGTGCCAATCATTTATTTGATTCTGGCCCACTGAATGCTCAAATAAGAGAAAATAAAGTTAGACAACACATTAGTCTCTTGGGTTTCTGTTTTAAGTGTGTGGCATTGGTAGCAAGAATGGGCATAATGCTAACTAACAGACAAGCCTATGTTGCAGGTCTGCATCCGGCTACTCAGGAGAGGCCTGGCAAGTTCAAAGGCTGACCACATCACAATGTGAGGTCAAGGTCAACCTGGACCCCTTCATTATAGCCCCATCTCAAAAGTTAATAAAAAAGGCACAAGAAGGTAGGACGTAGCCCATCAGTGGGGCACTTGCACTAGCTTGCTCAAGAACCTGTGTTCAGTTCTCAGACCTGCACAAAAAAAAAAAGACAATTGCAGACAGGTTTGAAAAACATATAGTGAAGATACATTACAAGGAAAAAAAAAAAACCCACAAAGTTAAAAAAAAAAAAAGCATCAGAGATACAATAGGCTGTTGTCCGTGATATACACTGGTAAGGCAGGAAATCTTACTCTGGCGTATGATTTCAGGGCTTACACCCAGAGTTGGCAGACTGCACTGCCTCAAGGCCTGAGATATGAGCACACCATGACAGGGAGCAGATGCTGGAACGAAATTGCTGACCTCACGGTAGCCAGAAGAAAGTCAGAGAGAAGGACTTAGGGTCCCAATTATCCCTTCCAAAAGCATGTCCCCAAGTGTCCGAACTTCCTCCCTTGGATTCTGCTTCCCAAATGTTCCACTACCTCCTGCTAACACTTCAAACTGGGAAAGCACGTTTTCAAAATGTGGGCCTATGGGGAACACTCGAGATCTGAACTATAATGGGAGGGTCAAGTGTTTTTAAATATTTTAATATTTAAATATTAAATATTTTTTAAATATTTCTAAATATTTTTAAATATTGTTTTAAATATTTCTGTCAAAGGCGCCACTTCTCTAGCAAAGACCTAAATGATGCAAAGAAAAGAGCCATGGGCCTATGATGACAGCCTTCACTCAACACGTGTGCTATGTCAGTGTGGATGCCTTTGATTCACTCTGCAGAGTGTGAGTTCTTGTCTAAACCAACAGAACAATTCCTCTTCCATTGTGTGTTACGCACAGAGCATAGTCTCATCATCTCATTATTCCCCTTGCATCATTATTCGTTGGAGAAACGCATGGATTCTCCAAGCTTTATTCCTGCTTAGTCTTTCATTTGTTTCAATACTGGGAGATGAATGAGGTAAGTGATGCTATTGGTATGCGTTACTACTTTTACACAGTACTCATGTGAAGGCTGAAGTGCTTAACTATGTTATTTGATGTCGTATAGATCACGGATAGCAGATTGGGGACCAGAGAAGAGCTCCCCATGACAGCACCTCTGTGATCTTCTCCACCACTCCGTATATTTCTAAGGAAGCATTACAATTTGATTGGGTCTCCAAAAATTATATGTTGGAAATATAATCCGCAATGAAAAAAGTGTTGGGACATGGGGGTCTATTGTGAGGTATTTACATTGTGAGGAAAAGTAGCCAAAGTAGATGAAACATGGTGAGAGCTGAAAGATACTAGTTGGACAGTTGATTTGTGGAGACAGAGTAAATATAATTTGTTTTTCTTTCCAACTGAAAAAAAAAATGCAGTCACTAGATTTGTCCCCTAGCATTCACGTCAACTTCTTCAGGGGTAGGCCATTCTGAGACGCTCATCCCGGAGGCAGCCTTCCCATAGCTTTCACTGACGACATCAGAGTCAATTACCTATGCTCATTTCATAAGCTGCCTTGTATACAGCGGACTGGTTGGCTTTTCTTCTGCCTAAGGGACCTGATTGGAGGAAGGAAGGATGTTCCCCGAGGGCTGCAGATATTCTCTCTGAGAAGGTCTCAGAAGATATTTGAGGACAGCTGCTTGTGCTCCTCAGTTGACTTCCCCTGTGGCATTGCGGTAAGCTCAGCACGAGCAGGATGTCTGCTGGGTATGCCAATCAGGCCTTTGGGAGGAATTGTGAGATACCTCAGAATATGTTCTTCCCATAATGCAGATGGTGTCTTTACATCTCCTGCTCAACCAGGCTTGACAGTACAGTCTTTTCCTCGCCTGCTTGGAGACCCATAAGTAAGAATGTGAACAGAATCCAGATGCATCTAGCTCAGTCCACTCAGAATCACAAATATGACGATAACCACCATGGTGAAAGCAACAAGGGATGAGGCAAAGAGCATACTGCTGGCTCAAACAGCTCCCTCTTTCACCGCCTCACCAAGGTGGCTAATCATACTGAGCATTCAGAAAGCAGTCACATCTGGCATATGCAAACAGCAGAAGGTTTCATGGCAAATACACACAGTTCTACTCTGTAGCAGCAAGATGACCTGAACACACACACACACACACACACACACACACACACACACACACACACA